GAGGCCTCGGGTGATTACAGGGTTGAGCGGGTGACCATGGGTGTGGGTAGCAGAGTGGATGTGGAGGGAGAGGTTGAGAGAGGAGAGAGAAGTCTGAGGAGATGGAGCAGGAGGGGGTGAAGTGGAGGTTGAAGTCGCCGAGGATGATGAGGTGGTCGGAGCAGAGGCAGAGGGAAGCAAAGAGGGTGGAGATGTCAGAGATGAAGGTGAGAGAGGATTTTGAGGCGCGGTGGGAGGGATGGCAGAGGGTGAGGTGTTCGAAGGAGGGGAACGAGCCGGTGGAGTAGGGGGATAGGGCAAGTGATACCCTGGATATGAGGGCCACACCACCGCCACAACGGTTAGGGCATGGGGTTTGGTGGTAGGTGTAGCCGGGTGGTGTGGCCTCAGTGAGGGGGAAGGTGTCACCTGGGGTGATCCAGGTTTCTGTGAGTACCATGATATCAATGTTCTCATCCAGGATGAGTTCATTGATGACCAGGGTCTTGTTGGGAGATGGAGCAGACATTTTGAAGTCCAATGCGGAATGGACAGTTGGCAGGGGGATGTGTGGGATGGGAGGGGGCAGTGGAATGGTTGAGAGAGAGGGTGGGGATGTAGATGAGGGAGGAGAAGTTAGCCCCGAGGTCAGGGTCGGGGGTGGCTTGTGGCAGTAGTGGGGAATGGGGCAGTCGGTGTGGCTGCTGCTGGACAGCCAGCACCAAGAGCTCCAATGAGCCCGGCGGAGGATTCCCAGGCTGGAGCAAGGGAGGCAGTGGGGGGGTCAAGCAGAGATAGGAGGCGGAGAGAGAGCAGGACAGACCGGGAGAGTTGCAGGGAGGGGGGCATTTTGAAGGAGGGCCAGCTCGGGTCGCTCACTCACTCACTGTGCCAGACACACACAGGGCTCTGCACTCAATGTGCTCCCCCCCACACACACACACACAGGGCTCTGCACTCAATGTGCTCCCCCCCCACACACACACATACACAGGCTCTGCACTCAATGTGCTCCCCCCCCCCACACACACACAGGGCTCTGCACTCAATGTGCCCCCCCCCCCCACACACACACAGGGCTCTGCACTCAATGTGCCCCCCCCCCCCCCCCCCACACACACAGGGCTTGCCTCAATGTGCCCCCCCCCCCCCCCCACACACACAGGGCTTTCCACTCAATGTCCCCCCCACACACACAGGGCTCTGCACTCAATGTGCCACCCAGACACACACAGGGCTCTGCACTCAATGTGCTCCCCCCCCCCCCACACACAGGGCTCTGCACTCAATGTGCCCCCCCACACACACACAGGGCTCTGCACTCAATGTGCCCCCCCCCCCACACCCACACACACAGGGCTCTGCACTCAATGTGCCCCCCCCCCCACACACACCACAGGGCTCTGCACTCAATGTGCCCCCCCCCCCCCCCCCCCCCACACACACACAGGGCTCTGCACTCAATGTGCTCCCCCCCCACACACACACACAGGGCTCTGCACTCAATGTGCCCCCCCCCACACCACACACAGGGCTCTGCACTCAATGTGCCCCCCCCCCACACACACACAGGGCTCTGCACTCAATGTGCCCCCCCCCCACACACACACAGGGCTCTGCACTCAATGTGCCCCCCCCCACACACACACAGGCTCTGCACTCAATGCCCCCCCCCCACACACACACACAGGGCTCTGCACTCAATGTGCCCCCCCCCCCCCACACACACACACAGGGCTCTGCACTCAATGTGCCCCCCCCCCCCACACACACACAGGCTCTGCACTCAATGTGCCCCCCCCCCACACACACACACAGGGCTCTGCACTCAATGTGCCCCCCCCCCCCCCACACACACACAGGGCTCTGCACTCAATGTGCCCCCCCCCCCCCCCCACACACACACACAGGGCTCTGCACTCAATGTGCCCCCCCCCCCCCCACACACACACAGGGCTCTGCACTCAATGTGCCCCCCCCCCACACACACACACACAGGGCTCTGCACTCAATGTGCCCCCCCCCCACACACACACACACACACAGGGCTCTGCACTCAATGTGCTCCCCCCCCCACACACACACAGGGCTCTGCACTCAATGTGCTCCCCCCCCCCCCACAAACACACACACAGGGCTCTGCACTCAATGTGCCCCCCCACACACACACACAGGGCTCTGCACTCAATGTGCCCCCCCACAAACACACACACAGGGCTCTGCACTGGATGGTTTGGATGGATGTTCCCTATTTCCCAGCAGAGTGACTGCTCCCTGGTTTGAAGAGTACAGGATCTTCAGACTGGTCTTGCAATTTACATGCACAGCAGGGCAGAGAGGCAATATTACTCGTCAGTCGGCGACAGGTTTATATTGGGCTACTTTGGGGCTGGTTTTGCCTCATTTTAATTTATTTTATTTAAACCTGCAAAACGTTTATTTTCCTTTCCTTGCACAGTTTCAAAAGCTAAGTACCGCTCTGCCACCCATATAGGAGGTAGCACATAATATTGGGCTACTTTGGGGGCTGGTATTGGGTGGACTCTGGGCTACAAATGTATTGTAATTTCTGGCAAACCCTGGTTCAGACAGAGGAGAGAGGAAATGAGCAGGGATAGATTTATTGAGTCCTGCCTCTCTTGCCTGCTGTGCATGTAAATTGCAAAGCCAGGTTGAAGATCCTGTATTCTGAAAACCCAGGGAAAAGTCACTCTTTGCAGGGAATTAGGGAACATCCAAGAACGAAAGAAAGAAAGAAAGAAAGAAAGGGGGATTTTGCACCATCGTTAAACCCTCCCCTCCCTTCTCCGTGTTAAAACGTGTACATCACGAGGCGCTGTGGACGAGTCTGTTCTCTTAAACAGGGAAAAGTCAGTCTTGCAGGAAAGGAAGGAATATCGACCAAACACACCCAAAGAGAGAGAGAGAGAGAGAGACCGAGAGAAAAAGGGGACGAGAAAAACAAGCTGGAGACCAGTGCTCAAATAAACTCCAAAATGCGGGAAATCTGAAAATAAAAGGTGCAAAAATTCTGAAATTTAAGGCTGGAAAATCAATCCACAGAGCATCAATTAGTGGCTGAAAAGAAAAAAAAGATGCTGTAAGGTTTCAGGGCTGGAATCTGACTCCATCTGAACCACAGCCTCTCTCTCTCTGCTGCAGAGGATCCTCACAGGCACAGACACTTGTTTTCTTCAAAGAAAACCTTAACCTGTTTTTCCTCTCAGATATGTCAGTTGTTTATATTTCAGATCGGTCCTTAGGGTCCTGACTGGTGTTGGAAAGAGAGAGAGAGGGGAGAAGTGTGTTTGCAACTCTCTCTCTCTATATATATATAGAGTTCTGCAAGGATTTCTTACCAAATGAGAATAGGTATAGATGAGGTTAGAGGGTGCTGTATGTCTGGGAAGAGGGGGGGGGAGGGAGGTGAAGATCCCATGGGATGGGGTGGGGGGGGGGGGATCGGTGTGGCCAATGGATGGGTCAAACAGGGCAGATCTCATCAGACAGAGAGAGAGAGAGAGAGAGAATAGCAGAGTCAGATGAATGCATCAGGAAGAGGGAAAGAGAGAGAGAGAGAGGCAGCAAAACAGGAAGGGAAAGGCGACTGGAGAGAGAGAGAGAGAGAGTGATCTAAAGGGTCTATAGCACACACTGCAAACACTGACCACTGATTCATTCGCACTGGTGTCCAGTCGGGTCGCAAACACAAGGGAAGGGGAGCCCAGCAGCCAGGCTGGGGGGGGGGGGAGCCCAGCAGCCAGGCTGGGGGGGGGAGCCCAGCAGCCAGGCTGGGGGGGGGGGGAGCCCAGCAGCCAGGCTGGGGGGGGGGGGAGCCCAGCAGCCAGGCTGGGGGGGGGGGAGCCCAGCAGCCAGGCTGGGGGGGGGGGGAGCCCAGCAGCCAGGCTGGGGGGGGGGAGCCCAGCAGCCAGGCTGGGGGGGGGGGGAGCCCAGCAGCCAGGCTGGGGGGGGGGGGAGCCCAGCAGCCAGGCTGGGGGGGGGGGGGGAGCCCAGCAGCCAGGCTGGGGGGGGGGAGCCCAGCAGCCAGGCTGGGGGGGGGGGGGGAGCCCAGCAGCCAGGCTGGGGGGGGGGGGAGCCCAGCAGCCAGGCTGGGGGGGGGGGGAGCCCAGCAGCCAGGCTGGGGGGGGGGGGGAGCCCAGCAGCCAGGCTGGGGGGGGGGGGGAGCCCAGCAGCCAGGCTGGGGGGGGGGGGGGAGCCAGCAGCCAGGCTGGGGGGGGGGGGGGAGCCCAGCAGCCAGGCTGGGGGGGGGGGAGCCCAGCAGCCAGGCTGGGGGGGGGGGAGCCCAGCAGCCAGGCTGGGGGGGGGGGGAGCCCAGCAGCCAGGCTGGGGGGGGAGCCCAGCAGCCAGGCTGGGGGGGGGGGGGAGCCCAGCAGCCAGGCTGGGGGGGGGGAGCCCAGCAGCCAGGCTGGGGGGGGGGGGGGGGAGCCCAGCAGCCAGGCTGGGGGGGGGGGGGGGAGCCCAGCAGCCAGGCTGGGGGGGGGGGGGGGGGGAGCCCAGCAGCCAGGCTGGGGGGGGGGGGGGGGGAGCCCAGCAGCCAGGCTGGGGGGGGGGGGGGGGGAGCCCAGCAGCCAGGCTGGGGGGGGGGGGGGGGGAGCCCAGCAGCCAGGCTGGGGGGGGGGGGGGGGGAGCCCAGCAGCCAGGCTGGGGGGGGGGGGGGGAGCCCAGCAGCCAGGCTGGGGGGGGGGGGGGGGGGAGCCCAGCAGCCAGGCTGGGGGGGGGGGGGGAGCCCAGCAGCCAGGCTGGGGGGGGGGGGGGGGAGCCCAGCAGCCAGGCGGGGGGGGGGGGGGGGAGAGCCTAATGCAGCTTTAGAAAGAAACGTCGGGAAAACGACCAAAGAGGAGCCGCCCTCCGCCCTCCGCCCCTCCGCCCCGCGCCTGTGAACCCGCCTCTCCCTCCAACCGCAATACATGTGCACATTTCCCGAGGTTGCAAAGTGTTATTGAGACGGAGGCTGTTCGCTGTCCCGCACAGCGAACGCGTACTATTAATCGGCGCCTTACCTGTGTTTCTGTGGCGGCGTTGACGACTATTTAGTAAAGATATTTAGTGAAGATATTTGCTCTCTCTCTCTCTCTCTCTCTATCCCAGATCTCCTGCAGCAGCAGCAGCAGCTCCACCATCTTCTTTAAAGCACTACAACACGCCCTGACGTCAGGATCACTGAGGAGAAACCACCTCTACACTCACTCACTCTCACTCACACACACACACACAGGGAAAGGCTACACAAACACCATCGGCAACGTCGCTCTCTTAGAGCATATACTGCATTATGTTAACCTGCACCTTTGGAGGAATTGATTTCCTTTGCAGTTTCCCCACCAGGTGCAAGAAACCACCTTTTTAAGTCCTAATAATCATCTTTGCTTTCGATGCGCCGTCTCAATCGGGTCGTTGAGGCGTCTCAAAAGCACTTATTATTGTAATAATGATGTATTCTTGCCGGTATATCCTGTGAAGCGCTTTGAGACGTCTCGAAGACGTGATAAGGCGCACTATCAAATGAAAGGGTTTTTATTATGTTGTAATCGTAGCATTTAATATAGCGCGTTATCTCAGCTTGGAAACGTCTCGAAAGCGCTTTACAGAATATATTGTAAAGTGAATTGACTGTATTTTTTGTGGGCGATTTCACTGTAAAGTGGATTGACTAATAATGATAATCCTTGCATTTGATATAGCGCTTTATCACATCATTGATATATCTCAGAACACTTCACGGGATTTCTCTGTAAAGTGAATTGATTGTGCGTTTTGTGGGCAAAAGTTATATATAGAGAGAAAGAGATTTACAAAAATGATGAGTTTCTAGCTCTGAGCATCACAGATTGCAACTAGAGTAGAAATGACCTCTTACCACTTGATTTGCAGCACCATCAGAGAAAATTTATGTGTGGCCTTGTTACATCCGCGTGGATTTCAGAAAACTCTCCAAATCATAATCTCCAAGATGTCCACTAACACAATTACAAATTGTTGTTAAGCAGTCAAAAAACTCCCCGGATTAAGCAGTCAAAAAACTCAAGCCTCCCGAGAAACATTAACTGTGTTGATTTTTTTTGGAAATAATTTTCTAACACCGTTCACACTGCATCCGCTAAATGGTAACACTGTAGAAGGGGGTTTCGATGCTGCTTATTGGAAGGATGGCATCTCGAGGTGGCTCTAACTGAGATTGCTAATGATAAGAATGCTGACTGCCTCAAGGCCAAATCCTTAAATCAGGATTGATCCTGTGAATTTGGACTGTCAATCTGCAATTCCAAACAAATTACCCACTGCATCCATCTGGGCAAGGTACGCCTGAAAAACAATTTTACTTTTTTCATTAAAATGTCTTAATTAAAGCGTTACGATTAAAAAAAGAGATACCACATTGAATATAAATATTTAATTTTGACCTTGGGGAATATCAACATTTAATTTTGCCTTTGGGGAATGCTTTCCATTATTCTAAAATAATATGTGTACTGAGTAAATGCCAGGGAGGGGGCATGCAGTCAGGTAGCTCACAGCCACAGTCTGTATCTGTTACCTATTTCATATTCATATTACATGACTGAAAGTACCGAATAGCACTAAAGTGCAAGTTACACACCAGGAATATAAATGGTATACAGATTTGGATATCCAGCATCTGGAATCCACCTTGATTGGCTTGCAGACAGGTAAGAAGATGTGCTCAAGCTCTGCACCTCCAACTGGTGGAACTATTGCTCAATGGGAAGCAACGTGTGCTGGAGGTTTGTAGGCAGGAAAATAGTGGCAATGCTCTCAGGCATTCATGTTGAGCTGTGCTGCTCACCAGGAAGCTTGTAGGGAGTTCCTGGTACTTGCCAGCTCCTGCCAACCTGCGCCTAATGTTTTCCAGAATTAGGTAAGCAGGATGCGTCCCTCCAGGGAGAGAGTGCGCATCCCATTAAATATCTCTGCTATTTCTACGTGTGGGTTGGATGTATGGAATTCTCAGTTTGATATGGTAACTCTTAAGCAGGAGGATGGGTTTTCACATGTGTCAGTCACCAGGCTGACCAAAAAAAATCATCATCACTGGGTCAAAATCCTACGCAACACCATTTTAGGAACACCATCACTATAGGACACCAGCAATGTAAAGAAATCAGGGAAGGGCAATAAATGCTGGTAAAATGCCAACATCGCCTATATCCCGAGATAAGTTAAGAAAAAGATACAATCGTAATGAGACTTGTAGAAATAGTTGAAGTTTCATCAATTAATTGCATGATCATTCCTCAGGATATTAGAACTAATACTCTAGATGTGATTGTGAAACATATACATACATAAAAATCCTAGAAATGAAAATAATGCTGGATGGCTGACAATAAATTGAAGGCATTAAATCCAATCTCATTCTCAGTGTTGAAGTTTATGATCTCATCTTCAACTAGATTATTGTCTTGTAATTCACTGATAGTTCTCCATAGAATGATGGGTTAAAGATTATTCCAGCAAATAAATGGATTATTATGCTATATTCCTTCATTGCAGTGAGTTTGTTGATGTGGGCTAAGTGTTTTCTGTAACTGTTTACCGCATTTTTCGCTAGGCACTTAGAAACGAATACAATGCAATTTCAAATTACACATTTTAAATTATAAATACTGTAATATTACCTTATACACCTAAAATTAAATTATACATATACAGTTGCACTCAAGTTATTTATAAGTATACAGTTACAGATTTCCAGCGAGAGCATAGCAAACTCATTTTTTCCTAGGTAAAGGCTCATCCTGCATCAGTTTAAGAGCAGTCACTGTAACTAGGTGACCTTGTACTACTTGTCATCAGCAGTGCTCCCAGACTGTGATCAATGCTTTCCTATGCACTGCGCTGTTTTTGTGTGTTGTTTTTCTCTAGGTCGAAGGCTATTTTACTCTGTGTTATTCTGAACGTTCATATTCATAACAAAAATAATTTACATTCAGACAGAGCTTTTCAAGCTGGGATGACATCTCAATGCCTTCGCCTGAGCTGGGGGAAGCAGCTGAGAAGATGGAGGGTGTGAGGAGGATGGCGTGTTGTGGGGGTGGAATTGAAGAAGGGTGACCCAAAAACAAAATGGTAGGGCTTAAGTGAAAATATAAGCAATTTGTTACATTTAGTAGAAATAACAAAAAACTTTGCATTTGATATAGCGCTTTTCACATCTCAAAGATGTCCCAACCTGCCCGCTCCCTCCATTCAGCGGGCTCCGGTCTGCTCCATATCTCCCGCCCGACCCGTGCTACCATCGGTGGCCAAGCTTTCAGCCTCTCTGCCCCCACACTCTTGAACTCTATCCCACAGTCCCTTCACCTCATTTCCTCCCTTGCCTCCTTCAAGGCCGGTCTCAAGACCCTCCTCTTCAGTCGTGCCTTCAGTCGCCCTCCCACCTCTCTGCCTTCCCTCACCCCTACACCACCCCTCCCCCATGCTCAGTTCCTGACCCCCGACGTGAAAGGCGCTCTATAAATGTAATCTTGTTGTTGCTGTTCTCTCAAAATGCTTCACGGAATATACTGTGAAGTGAATTGACTGTATATTTTGTGAGTGAAATGCGGCAGCCAATTGCGCACAGCAGTGTCCCACAACCAAGTCGTGGGCTGAAGTAGACTTATATTTAGGTTTTGAGTACTGTGCACATTCCATGCTGTTTTTCTAGTTTCTGGAAACATGAGTCAACCATTTTGTCATTGAAATTTATAAAATTGATAAAATTGTAACATTAAATATTGAAATTTCTTTACATAAATGTTTTATTAAAACATTGATTGAACAGTTTCATAATTAACTTGCTCTCTGCAATGCTTGCTTCAGCCGCATCTTTTTCTGGGGCTCTTTCACATCAGTGAATTGGATTTTATTCTGTATTGGCTGATAGGTGCCAGGCCTTGATCTCCTTTTCGTTTGGTTGGTCAGTGCTGTGCTAGAGTAAAACGGCTGTGATAAAATAATTATCACAAGACAGCTGCCCGCTTTTAAATGGTCTAATTTACTATTTATTATAGTGTAACCCAGAATAATAGGTGACTGGAGGTGAGTTACAAGACTATAAAGAGAAATTATTTGTCATGATAATACCTGTTACCATGGCAAAGTGGATGTCTCACAATTGTATGCATCATTGAATACTTTCAAAACATATTTAGAAATCACACAGCAAATGTTGTACAGGAGGGTTTAACCTAATATAACCTCCATCAATGAGTTTTGTGTTCTTTTTGCAAATAACCAATTTTCTGTTGCAAAGGAGACATGAAAGTGTGTTGTATATCCGTCTTTAGGATGATGTCCACTGTGGAGAGTGGTTTCCTCTTTTAGATTAAATCAGATTCTTACACAAATTATAGCGTGGGTCAGCCATCGCAATCATGCATACTAGGGTCAAAAAGGAACCTAAGTTGATGCAGTAATTGATACATTATTATGCCCTCCTCACCAGTCTGCCCAGCTCCACAATCCACAAAATCCAGTTAATTCAAAACTCTGCTGCCCATGTACTCACCTACATTAAACGGTATCCCAATAACACCAATCCTTGCCAGGCTCCACTGGCTCCCTATCACAGAATGGATCAACATTAAGATCTTCACACTGGTCTACAAATCCCTTCAATCCCTAGTACCTCCCTACCTTTCCGACCTGCTTGCTCCCCACTCCACTACCCGCTGCATCTGCTTGGCTGTCTCTGGCCTCCTGTTTGTTCCTCATCCCCTCCGCTTCACCATCGGTGGCCATGCTTTCAGACACCATGCCCATAAACTTTGGAACTATTCTGTCCATAAAATTCACAATCAATCCACTTTACAATACAATCTATGAAGCAGTTTGAGGTGTTTCAACGATATAATAAGGCACTATATCAAATGCAAGGATTATTATTATTATAATTCTCCCCTTCAATCGCTTCACCTTACCTCCTCCTTCCCATTTTCAGACCTTCCTCTTCAACCTTGCTTACGGTCTCTTCCTCCCTCCCCTCGGTTTGGTGTCAGGCTCAGCCACTGTTAAGCGTTCTGACACACTACCCTGGTGAAGGGCACAATATAAATGTAACTTGTTGTAATTCTAATACTCTAATTCAGTAAGCATAACAAAGATGATCATGATAATCAAGAAACAGGAAAATAATATTCTCTTACCTGAGCTGGTGAATTGCCAGATCCAGGGGACTTCTGTGTTAGT